CTGGCCCATCCAGGGAAGTCCCTGTTTGGTGTATTCTGACCCCAGAAAGGGAGTGGCCTGGGTCTGCTCAAGCCCTCCCGCAGGGATGCCCCTGGTATGGTGGCAGAGACGGGTGGATTCATGCGTGGTCAAGGCCAGAGGTCCCAGACCCCAAGCAGCATTTGGCAGCTGATGATAAATGTGAATGCAGACACACCACACGGGCAGCCAGCTGTGGAAGGAGGAAGAGATGAGATCGGTTCACCTGGGAAGGAGGATCTTGGAGGGAGGAATTTATCACTCCTGTTCTATGTAAGGCTGGTGGGTTTTGGTGGGAACCCTGATATCATTCCAAAGTCTTCTTTTCAAGTCACTTCATTTAGAGAATCTAGAGATTGTTTCCGACTGCCGAGGGAGGCCTGGTGAGCAGTGTGTGTCCCTCACTGTCTGTGTGTTGGGGGGTGAATGGGACTTCGCGAGGAGGGAGCAGACTCCGCCTGGCTTTTTAGTGTGGTTCAGGTACTTAGGTATAGGGCGCTCACTACGCTGCTCAGTCATGTCTGACTCTTTGTGATCCCATGGACTGTAGCCTGCCAGGCTCCTCAGTCCATGGGATTTTCCGGGTAAGAATACTGGAGTGGGTTGCCATTTCCTTCTCCATGTAGGTGCAGTGCCCTCATCCTCAAACACCCCATCTGCAGGGACCAGAAACTGCACCTGAACTCATTGCACATCACAGACCCTTCACGGCCAAGAGTCAGGAAACCCGGCAAAAGCAGTGGCGCCATCTTGAAATTTTCAGGCCAGTCAGGCATGGTGTCTGTGACTGACATGGACGCGTCCCGGCCTCAGGCTGGGTGGGAACAAATGACTGCTTCCTCCCTTGAGGCTTGTTTCTCTGGATTACATTCAGACCTAGGTGCCCTTTCTTATGACGAAACACCACCTGAGGCACCCAGGGCTGCTTAAAATGGGCTATGGTTAGAGAACCAGTGTTGGTTAGAAGGTTACTTGCAAGCTGGAGTCACATAAGGGAACACTGGCATCAGATACAAGGATCTGAGGGCAGAAGGAGCTCGTTATGTCCGTTCACGCAGAAAACAACACACTCCTGCCACTTCTGGCTCTAACTGTCCCCTGACAGGAAGCATAAGCCCACGAGACTATGAACTGAGGCAGAAGACGGTTCAGGGAGGTACTCTCTTCTTCCTGTGCGTTTTTCTCCACAGATGTTCCCCCTGGCATGGGAGTTCTACAAGTCTTAATGCTGAAAACACACAGTTAATCACAAAACTAGGCTTCTTTGTGAAGCGTTGACAACACCTAGGGACTCTCGAGTTTCCAGCTGGCCCAGAAGCCAGCATGTCGCCGAGACAAGGAGAACTTCAGCCACAGAAAGATTTATAATCTATCCAGCGGTTTTATTTGTGAAGAAGCCCTGTTACGTGTCTTACTGCCCCTCCACACCATGGCCTGTGCCCTCCAATGTTCCTCACTTAATAAAACAACAGACTTGAGTGTTTGGAGTGGAGCTGGGAAGGCAGAGAAGACCGAAAGGGCATCGATAACCATGATAATGAACAGAGCAAAGCATTTGATATTATGGGTTATTTACTGGATATGAATATGTAATCGAGTAATTGGATATACTTCCACATTAGACACAGTTGCTTAAATCAAAATTGAAATGGAGTCATAAAAATCTCATAATATTAATGTTGTTAACTAAAGTCTATAATGAGAGGTTCTCAGGTTGTACTGCTGCCTAGGGGTCTCCCCATGAATTTTCATCATGACGGATGGCCCCCGCCCACGGTCACCGGGCAGCTCAGTCCACCAACAAACAACACCTCGTTAATCTCAGCCAAGCATCCTGCCTCCAACACCCTCCCACACGGCAGCCAAGGGCCTCACCGTCTATCCCTTCTCCAAGCCGCAAACCTCTCCAGCCTCCTTGATTACTTAAAGAGTGAGTGTTGAACGAATAAAATTTTCCACTCATTGAACACTGCTGCTCTTAACATGTAATAAGGGGAAGAAAGATGGAGCTGAGAGGTGGGGGGTGTGTGTGCGCGCACTTAGTCACTTCAGTTATGTCCGATTCTGTCCAATCCTACGGAGTGTAGCCCACCAGGATCCTCTGTCCATGGGATTCTCCAGGCAAGAATACTGGAGTTTGGGTCGCCACGCCCTCCTCAAGAGTATCTTCCCAACCCAGGGATCAAACCTGTGTCTCTTATGTCTCCTGCATTGGCAGGTGGTTGCTTTACCACTAGCACCACCTGGGAGGCCCAAGAGGTGGTGTCGGTCAGGCTCTCTCAACCTCAGCCGTAGATGTTTGGGGCTGAGGAGTCTTCCCTGTGGAGGAGGTGCTATCTTGTATGCTGTAGGATGTTGACAAGCATCCCTGGCCTCTAGCCACCAGATGCCAGTAGGCACCACCACTCCCACCACCCCATCTGTGAAGATGTCCCCAGACATTGCTAAATGTCCCCTAGGAGGTTCAGTTGCTCCCCATTGAGACCACTGGTATAGACAGTGGCAGATGACCCCCTAAAGGGGAATTCAGGTTAAAATGAGCCCAACTCAGGGCCCATTAGAGGATCCAAGGAAAGGCACACTCTGCTCCTGGCTACCTCTGGGGTACAAGCTGAACAGGCGATGGCACAGCTGAACGGGTAGCTGGGCCACATCCATGACCTGTAACCCACTCAGGCATATTCAGTTTGGGCTGCAGGATGGGTCTACCATGATGCAACTTTGGCTTGCCCCTCCCGCCCCCAAAGTTCGGCCCTACATATCACTGATCATAAATTCTCTTGCTTTGCTTTCCCATCAGGTCACAGAGCATTAGTATTCTCCCTCTACTGCTCCAAGTTCCCTTCTGTGCCAGTTGGATAGGATGGGCATGAAGCTGCGCTGCCAGCAGGGCCTGGGGGCACCAGCTGCATTGAGTCCAGCATCTCCCCAAAGCGAAGAACTGTGATTCTTCATCCTTTCATGATGCACCAACCACAGATGAATAGTAACAAAAGAGCATTTAAGACAGGCCAACCTCTCTTCCTAGGTTTTCAGGACAAGATCACTACACAAAGATTCTTACTATCTTCCAAGATGAAGCCAAAATGTCAACTCTGAAATCCTTCATCATTTCTCAGATCCAATGTGGAGGAATAAAAGTAGAAACTAGGGATTCAGAGTTTACAAATGGACCATGTGCCAAAAGCATGTCTACCTCAAAATCAGTGGCTTGGGAGACACAACACATCCTTCTTTAGAAATGATGCACTAAGCAATTTCAATATCGATTCACAGTTGTGCAACATGCTTTCACTTGCAAGTACACTCAGATCCATTATTTCATTTAGTCTATGAAATGGCTCTGGGAAATGTTGGGGGATTATCGTTCCCATGTTCAGAAGAAGAAACTACAGTTTACAAGGGATAAATGAGAAGCAGTTCATGAAATGCCATCCAGCCCATAACAGTCCTCATGGGGACATGCTCTAATCACATGCATCAGAATGATTCTGTTGGAAAATGTTCCTAGTTCCAAGGGTGTGATGGGTCTGCCCTTGTGCTATTGGCTCAGCAGTTCTCTTCCTGCCTCCCCCCACCATTGTGTGGCCTCATTATCCAGAACTTCATCCAAGTCACTGATGAAAGCAGAGAACAAGGGAAGGCTCAGGGGGCAGCTCAATGGGCCTCTACTGATCACCCCCATCAGCAGGGCCTCAAACCTCCTTGATGCCTCCACCTGTCTAGACCATGCATCAGCCTCCTTTTCTCCCAGACCCTTCACCCCCAGGTTGAAGCTGCTGCTGGAAGCTCATGACACCCAGTGTGTGAGTTCCAGGAGGGTAGAAAGTGGAGCTGAAGCCAGAGAAGGAGCAGAAGGCCCCTGGAGAAGATGGGGCAAAGGTACCTCCAAGCAGGAGTTCCCCTCATCTTTGGCCTCAACTGCTGCCTCACTACCACTGGGACAAACACCTGAGAAGAGGTGAGAAGAGGGTGGTCAGAAAAGGGGGCAGAGGGGAATGAGCCCGGGGGACAGCAGGAGGACGGGAAAGGAAGAGGAGGGGCCGGCTACAGACAGATCATGGAAGGCCATTCATCCAGGGAAGCCGGATTAGGATTAGGCACATTTCACTCAGAGTGTTTGCTGAAAGCGGACACAGTAGAGCTCTCCATGGTGCTTCTCAGACTTCATCAGAATTAATGGACTGCCTTGCTAACAATGCACACTTTTGGCGGTCAGTCCGAACCCACTTCCAAGAGTCCAATCCCTAGCTCGGAGTGGCCTGATCAAGGTGATCTGAGTATCGGATTCTGGGAAATACAGTCCTAAGCCCTGCATTCCTGGAGGGCACACCTTCTATGGACACTGCCTCTGTCTCTGCTCCCTTTCTTGCCGTGGCAGATGCTGCCGTGGTTCAGGCAAGCTGAGAGTTGCAGCTGATCTGCAGAGGTGCATGGCATGGTTTTGCTTTATTCCAGGAATAAGCATCTCACTTGTCCTGTGTTATTCTGACTTGGCACAACACCCCCAGGGCTGAAACATATAGGTGAGCCTCACCCAGCCCTGCAGTTGCTGCTGGCATCCATCCCTGGGCTGGAAACCTCTTCTGGAAGAGTATTGCTGGTGAGAAACATGCCTTTGTAGGGTGGATGTGATCGGAGCCAACCACCACTTGGCACCAAGTCTGAGAACAGAGGCAAGGGATCCAGCAGGGAAGTCACATCTGAGTCTGTGACTGAGGTCCTGCCTTCCTGGTAAGACTTGAGCCACTTAGTTGAGCATGAAGGAATGGGAGGAGCTCTGATTCTGTCCCCTGCAAGGCCAGAGCTCACCTGAACACATGCATTTTCTTTAAAACTGTGCCTGCTCTGTCATTTCAGCTAGCTCTAGTTTCTCACAGAAGGCACTCACTTCTCCCCGCAGGAGGTGCAAGTATCCCCCCATCCCTGCAGGAGAGTGGCAGATGGCGTGTGGACTGGGCAGGCCCAGGGCAGGGACTCACCTTGCCAGTGATGCTTGTAGTCACACATGCGGGACAGGGCGATCATCATGGCACAGTACAAGGGCAGGATGGCAGCGCAGAGCCGCCAGCTCTTCCCCCGCCCACTCTCCGTGAAGCAGTGCAGCTTGCCAGCCAAGTAGAACGTTGTGAAGCCAAGGCCTGAAAAGGCAACTGCCAAAGAGAAACAGCAGGTGTCATCCTAGCAGGTGGGAAGCGGCAGGGACACAGGGCACCCTGAGCATCCTGTCTGCCATCTTGCGACACCCCCAGGGTCAAGACCATGTTGGCACCAGACACCATCTCGGCAATCTGTGCTCTTGCTAGAACCACACTGGTGTGAAGCTTTCAACAATGAGAACGACCTTTCAGGCTTGCATGTGATCAAAATCTACTCAATCTCATTCATTCATTCATTCAACAATGATTTGAGGGGTGGCTACTGTGTGCTAGACAGGCACTGTTCAAGGTGGGGGAAATAAAAAGTTGATTCAGGGGCTGTCTCTGCTTTCAAGGGGCTCATGGACTGATTGAGGGTCACGGTTGTGCTAACAGAGAGTTTTAATACTGTGTTTGGAGTTCTATATGAAAAAAGTGCCTGCCGAATAAATGACTGATGACAGCTTAGCTTTGAAAAGCGAGGGAAAGAAAGGGAGTTTTAGCTTGGAAGATGGGACCAGCAAATGCTATGGAAAAGTGGGTTTGACAGAGAAGCCAGTAGTGACAAATTTCTTATTTTCTCTCAGAAGTTATGGTTATTAGTTTTTAGAACTGCAAAAACAACTTGTAGCTTCACTGGATCCATTGTCAAAAGTGTGGAGTCAGGTGGAGTAGGTAAGCCCTGAGCTTTTCATCTAGTCAGGTTTAATACACAGTTGAAGTCAGTGAGATTTAAGGTGAGTTTTCTGTGAACTTACAACAACAGTCCTCAACCCTGGGCTACACTCGGGCCACCTTTAAAACCTGGGAAGTTTTCAAAATACTGGTAGTCAAACCTCGTTATAGAACCTTCTACTTGCACTAGTCTGGAGTGACCCCTAATGGTGCACATGTGCATGCAGGTGTGTGCGTGCGCGTGTATGTTTGTGTGTGTGTGTGTGTGTGTGTGTGTGTACTCCCCAGGTGATTCTAATGGCAGCCAAGAGTGAGTTTAGACGCTTCTCTTGAGGACAGGGGCTACAGCTCTCACCTCCTCTGGACACCAGCCTACTCAAAACTTTCCTCTTGATCAGAAAATACTCCTGAGGGGCAAGGCTCCTAGGCAACCAGCCTGCACAGTGATTTGACAGAGTCGGTAGGATGGGGCTAAAGCTAGGGCATCAAGGCCTTTAACAGACTGTCTGAAGCCTGAGCAGCAGCCTCGGCACCAGTGAGTTAGTCACAAATACAGAACCTCAGACCTGCCCCGGATGTACTAAGTTAGAATCCCCTTTCACAAGATCCACAAGTGAGCTATGTGCACCCTGAAGCCTGAGAAGGCCTGGCCTATAGAAGATCCATCCTCTTGATATGATGTGTCTGAGAGTCCATCTTCAGGAAATAATAAAAAACCACGGGGAGATCTAGAAGATATTCTGCTTAAAATTATTTGTAATTATGGGGGGAAAAGTAAAGATAAAGAACTAGAATACTTCCATTCAATGAATTATGATGCAGCCGTGGAAATTATTCTGACTATGTGAAGGAGATCACACCAGTCAGTCCTAAAGGAAGTCAAGTCTGAATGTTTATTGGAAGGATTGATGTTGAAGCTGAAGCTCCAATACTTTGGCCACCTGATATGAAGGGTCGACTCACTGGAAAAGACCCTGATGGTGAGAAAGATAGAAGGCAGAAGGAGAAAGGGATGACAGAGGATGAGATGGTTGGATGGCATCACTGACTCAATGGACATGAATTTGAGCAAATTCTGGAAGATGGTGATGGACGGGAAAGCCTGGGCTGCAGCCCAAAGGGTCACAAAAAGTCAGACACGACTGAGCAACTGAACAACAACCAATGTAGCGCTACAAACAATAATTAGGATACAACGTTAAGTGAAAGAAGCAGGACTCTAAGTTGTAAGTTCATGATACTCATGGTTATAGTACATAAAGATGAATACCCTGCAGTTTTAATGAATTATCTCTGATAATAATGTGTCTTCTTAAATAGGGTTCTCCAAGTATGAACACAAGCTTATGCCAAAGCAGAACTTTTTCAGCAATCAAATTAAACAAAGTAACAGAGGATTGCTTGTTTTTGTTTTTTATTAATAAAACAATATTAAGCCAGGTTTATCTTAGGAATAAAAATGAAGCACTTAAATATTTTGAATAATGATTTGTACTTAAACAGTAAAGCAGTGCCAACATATACTGAATATTCTGTTTAAAGTAAAACTCTGCAAAACTGCATTGCCCAGGCCAGTTCTAAATTGTTTGCTATGATGAAGGGTATTATTAATAAATGGTTTACAGAGTGTTCCAAAGAGGCCCCATTTGGCCACCATCCTAGCAAGTGCAATGGGCTCTTAATTCCCCATCCTCATCCATTTTACTCTGTTTCATCTCTTCATTCACTCTGCCCTAAGGTATCAGAGTGGGCAGAAGAGGCTGGACACTTGGCTTTGGTGGGTACTGGCCTCATTCTGAGCTCTTAAGGGAGGAGTAATAGACTTTGTTCAAACCTGACAGCCTAGCCGTCTACCCACCTAACTACTACTACACCGTTTATATAAGGATCTTGAGCATCAATGGATTTTGGTGTTCACAGGAGCCCTGGAACCAATCCCCTGAAGAATACTGAGGGGCGACTGTACATTGAATGTGATGAGCGTAAAAGATCTGCCCTGAGGCTTTGTAGGGTTATGGATGAAATCATGATTTGAATCAGAAGAGAGGCAGTCCTGAGTGTTGCCAAGTTGTCAATATTAAAAACAAGGTCAGTGGATATAAGGTGGATGTTGAGCAGGAATTTCTATGTGTCGCCATAATCAATGGTTTGGAGACTTTAAGATAGATGAGTCCAGACTCAACAGCCAACAGTCTTTGGGCAGATTCACAAGATGGACAAGAGAAGGGGCTGCTGAAAATCCATGAAAGTCAAGTCCTGGGGCATGTGGTCCAAGGCCAGACCCTTGACCTCCACCCGGTCACCTCTCTGCACCCAGGAACTCACGGGGCTGTGGCTCAAAGGAGAGCAGGCAAAGCACATTCTCTGTCTCACAGTGGGGCCCATGCTGCAGGTTCTCCGAAACGGAGGGTTATCTGCTTCTTGGAAAAGAAGTGAAGTGAAGTGAAAGTCACTCAGTCATGTCCGACTCTTTGCAACCCCATGGACTATATAGTCCATGGAATTCTCTAGGCCAGAATACTGGAGTAGGCAGCCTTTCCCTCTTCCAGGGGATCACCCCAACCCAGGGATCGAACCCAGGTGTCCTGCATTGCAGGCAGATTATCAGCTGAGCCACAGGGAAACCCTCTTGGAAAAGAAAGAGGGGTTCAAAGGAATTTTAAAGGCTGAATTCAACAGCCTAGATCCTGTGGGCATCCGCAGCAGCTGATCTCCTTCAACACATCCTATTGGTCCTCTGGGCAGCACGTCTAAAGCAGCACGGTGTGTCCTCACTTGTCTAGCTGACACGGCAGACTCTGATTCCATGTTAAACCTTATGCTTGTCACTTTCTCACTGATACTCCTACAGTTATTGAACTGGCAAGCGGTCCTTTGACAAAAGGCTTCTGAGGCACCTCCTTCTGGCCCTGCCATGGGCTGCTCAGGTGCTTTGCCAAAACTCCTATTTCCCCAAATACCAACTGAATGTGAATTAGGCTCTATCAAACCATGGCATCCTACGAACTCACAGCATCCCACAGTTTTCTGCCTCCTCCTCCTTTGAGGCTGGCAGTTTGGGACCGGGATGCTCCTATGAGCCTTTCAGCTCTGAGATCCTGGGACTCAGAGGTAATACCAAGGCTTCAATTCAAGTTCAATTGGGAGAAAAAGAAAGCAGAAAGGTTTTTAAAGAAATGCTTTCCAACTCAAGCCAAACAACACCCTCTTCTCTTCTCAAAGAAACAAGCATGTGAGACACTGAAGGGCCACAGAAGCTTGTATGCTAGTGAGGAGCAGGGAGATGACATTTGTTCCAAGGGTCCGCCTTCCCCCTGAAACATGGTCCCTGCTTCCAGCATGATTAGGAGATAAAACTGAGCATTCAAAGATACAGGCAGAGTACCAGACATTTTGGAAGATGGAAATGATAAAGTATGATAAATGCCTTCATATTTTGCTAACATTATTAGCAACAGAAATACGATTACAACAATGGTATGAGAGAAAAGAGTCGACCTCTCCTGGGGGCTCGGAACGTGTTTATTTGCTCTTCAGAGTTTAGAACATACACACACACACACGTGCACACACACACACACAAGCACTCACATGGATCAAGGTAAGAGCATACGCCCCTTGTTTTCAAAGTCTGTAGCAGGTTTTCTTGGCAGGAAGCAGCTGATTGTAAATATTTCTCTGTTGGACTGGCTGTGAAAAGTAAAAATACTCTTGAAACCTCTAAACTAGGAAGCAGATGAAGGAGGGTGGTTTTCCCACTTGTTTCTGACACTTTCGGGGCTCACTTGGCTGTCATCAATGAGTCGATAAGCAAAACCTCACAATACAAGTTGCTGGTCCAGGTGGTGATGCTAGGCATGTGGTCTGAACAGGGTTATCTGCCTGCCTGGTGATTCTGAAAGAGAGTTACTGATTCATCTCTCCGACTACGCAGATGAACTGTCACAGGTTTACAACATTCCCTTTGCAAGAAAGGTCTATTTACTGAGTCGGCTTAGGTGGCAACCGACTAGTATCCTTGCCTGGAGAATCCCATGGACAGAGGAGCCTGGTGGGCTACAGTCCAGGGGGTCACAAAGAGTCGGACACGACTGAGCTACTAACACACACACACACTTAGGTGAAATAAAGTCATTTTGCCTTTTCCTCCCCAGCTGACTTTTAAACCAAGTGAAAGAGGTTTGGACCCCAATGACCGCAAGAAATGAGAAAACTGGCACCAAAGAAAAGGCTTTATACATAAATGAGATAAGAATCAGGGGGACAGACCCAGCTTTGGAGGTTGTATTTTTTACTCTAATTATAATGAATTTCCCCAAGCTGATTATACCTGACACCAC